GTTTCATATTATTTGATCTTCCATGCTTTTAAAAATAGCGTTTTGGAATTTTCAAAAAAAAGAATATGTAAAATAGAATAGAATTTTGTCTATAATATTGAGAAGTACAAGTTATTATTTCAAGAGTTGTTCTGAAATTTGAACTCATTCTGTATGTTTTATTGTTGTCAAGACGTTACAACCAATACATTCTTTAACTTTTTTGTTTCAGCATTTAATTAATTTATTAGCATAATAAATAATTAAGCGCTATCTAGGAGATTAAGCTTTTTTCTTTCTTTAAGAATCACTTTGAAAATTTTCTCTCAATGTCCACCAGTTGATTTTTAAAACATTGATCCACTGAATTTTTCTAATTAAGTGCAAAAAGTGAAAAATGTTAAAAAACATTATTTATATTTTTATTACACGCCATAATATTGTGAACTAACTATAAGAGTTTGGTAATTTATAATAGAATGTATTCAAAAAGAAAAAGAAGTTTCTTAAACTAGTTCCTAATACTTTTAAATATATTTTGGTACTTTTATTTTGTGCCAAGCATCAAAGAAGCAATACTTTTTAAGGGCAGTAACTTTAAAGAATTTATGGGAGGTAACTCTAAAAACAGTACAATATATCTTAATCTAAGGGAGATAACTCTCACTATTTCATTTGTTACTCTAATCATATACGATAGAAAAATAAGTATTTTTAATGCTATATTAACTAATTGCTTTAAATAATTGAACATTGCGAATTTTAATTTTTTTTTGTTTATACATATATAAAATTTAAATGAATAAAACCTTATGATTTCGTGAATATTTCCTTTTATAATGTGCTTTCTTTTGGATAAATTTGTATCAAAAACTTGATATTAAGAACAATTGAATCGGTTTTCCACAAATATTGTTAGGATTGAATGAACCGATTACATTTCTTTATTCACACAAACACACACACATACACACACGCACACACACAAACACACACATATATATATATATATATAACTAAAAAAGACGTAAAAATTACGAGAATTTAACGTATTTTTCAGACCATTGGGATTGAATGAACCGATTACATTTCTTTATTCACACACACACACACACACACACACACACACTCATATATATATATATATATATATATATATATATATATATATATATATATATATATATATATGTATGTATGTATAAAACAAAAAAAACGACGTAAAAATTACGAGAATTTAACGTATTTTTCAGACCATTAGAACTTCTGCCAAATAGTATTCAATAGATAAGTAGAACAATAATACTAAGTAAATAAAGAAAGGTTCAATTGGCTTCTCTGATTTCATTAAAATGACTGACAAGGTACTGCAGTTAAGTTATTTTTTTAATTTTAATTCCCCTTATGTTCTTATAATTTTTTTCTGGACATAAGTAAAAATGTAAAAACTGCCCAAGTATTTTGTATATCCGAGTGCCTTCGGCTATACTTTTTAACTATTATCAAGGATAATTTTATTTTTACTTTTAACTGAATATAGGTATTGTTTTATATATGTATCTAAAGGTATAGGGATGTTTTATTTTCCAAACACGGTCAGCACATTGTGGCCGTATTCATAGTTGATATTATTGAGTGTTGGCGTTTTCTGTTTATATATATATATATATATATATATATATATATATATATATATATATATATATATATATATATCCATATTATGTGCACTTTATGTTTTTTCCTAAATGTATTGACTGTTGGCTTAATTTTCCGTTTCTTTTTGTTTTGCATGATACGAAGGCTGGAGCGTCTGGATGTGAACAGTCTGGAGCGACAGATACACGCCTCACTCCCGTCAGTAATGAAAACAGGAGTGCAGACGCAGGTCTTCCAAATTCAAGACTCCGGCAAAAGTAAGAAATTATTCTCTCTCTCTCTCACTCTCTCTCTCTCTCTCTCTCTCTCTCTCTCTCTCAAGGAAGTTATTTAATTTTCTTCTATTTCTTATTTAGGCACTAATGCTCATTGTAAAGTAAAAAGAAACTTATAAGAATATGTGTGTAATGATTTTCCATTCAGCCAAATTCGATGGCATAATTACACCAAATATTGCTAAAGGCTTCATAACTGACTTCTTTTTTTTTAACCTGTGTACTCTCAGTGGACAATAGGTCTAAAGTCGAAGTTGGTGCTGCTGCAGTTTCAGTAGTCAGTAGGTTTTACAGGATAGAGTTACTAGCCCCACATCAAACTGGTTTTTAATTCATTTTCCTTCTCCTCGTCTAGTTGCCAGCTAAGGCTAGAAAACCTAGTCTAACCTTCTATTTAACCCGTAACTAGGAGGTGGGGACAAGCATAGGATTCATAACTTTTCTAAGGATATTTGTGCTAAAGGGAAAGCAAAAGTTTCGTCTGGATCTCAAACTCGGTTCGCCCATACAATTTCCCACGCCAATAAGCCCCACATCCATAATTCACCACGTTCTTCATAATACTGGCCTTTGGTTTGGTTAATCCAGTAGTTTTGTATATGTGTTTGTGTGTGTGAAGTGGAGTAAGAAGTCCCTTGTTTGATGCAGTTATTAAGCTGAGTTTGGGTCTAAAATGTTCACTGTATAATGTGATTAACGGAGGAGTGCAATATTGAGAGCATTAACATAGAATGAGAATTAGCTAATATATATATATATATATATATATATATATATATATATATATATATTATAAATTAATTGATTTAAAATATGTTTTTTTCCGCTACAGTTCTAACCATGTTTCCATTTTTTAAACATGGTTAGAACTGTGTAGCGGAAAAACATATTTTTTAAATCAATTAATTTATAATATTAATGCTCTGTAAATTTACATTGAGCACTATTTTGTAAAAATAAAATATCTATAATTAATTCCGGATTATATATCTTACTGTTCTTTTTCTTTTTTTATTTAAATACATATATATATATATATATATATATATATATATATATATATATATATATATATATATAAAGCATTTCACCCCTAGCAAAGCGGAAGGCCATTAGCACGCAAGGGGTTATAGAGGATTTGGAGCGAGAGCAGATAGGACTGATAGAGGTAAGGATGGAGAGAAGGATAGTGGATAGATCAAGGCAACTGAAGATGTCGATTGACATTACATTTGCAAAATTGGAGATTATAGCTCTCAGGGAAACAGGAATAGGGAAGGGAGTTCCACAGGCGAGAGGTGCGAGATATGAAGCTATGGAGTAGAAGAGGCGGCTACATTTAATAGTTTCAACAGTGAAACGGTGAGAACGGGATGCTAGCCTCGTAGGGCGCTTGAATTCGCGAAGTCTGGGAACCAGCGAAAGCAGGCCATCGGAGCAATTACCAAGTATTTGTAAAAAAAAGACAGAGAGAGGCGACGGCGCGTCCGTGAGAGAGCGACTGCAAACGAGATGCCAGATCGGGGCCAATTATATTGCATATCTGTCTCTGGATCTTATCAAGAACCCCGAGGCAAACAGTAGGGGCTCCAGACCATATATGGCAGCAATACTCCATGCAAGGGCGAATATATATATATATATATATATATATATATATATATATATATTTATATATATATGTTAATCAGATTCACCCCAATCATGACTAAGTCGCAGTAGGTTACTGGGTGTGAAATAATTAGAAAACAGAAACATTATTAAGGAGCAAGAACAATAGAAGTATGATCAGGAAGACACTAGATAACGATTGACATTGCATTTAAACTTTTGAAGATCAAAGTTGGCTGTAGAACATAGAGACGGAAGAGTGTTCCACAAGCGAGAAGTGTGAGAAGAGAAACTGTTAGTTTAGTACTTACCTAGCCGATTCAACCCTAAACTTTGTTGCCAATCTAATATTGCGCTTAAATTAAAGAAGTCTCGGTACCATAGAGAAGATTTCTTCCGAGCAATTACCATGATAGTATAGAAAATACTTAGTTATAGAAAAGGCACAGAGAAGCAACTTTACGGAGGTGAGAAAATGGCTGAAGCCGAGATGTCAGTCCAGAAGCAATCATCTGATTCTTCTTTTGGGTTTTTACCAAGAATATCTAAATATATAGCATGATCACCAAACCATATGTGAAGCAATATTCGAAACATGGACGAATAGTAGACTCATAGATAGGTAAGATAGATCCTGGAGAGAAAAATCGTCTAGCAAGACGAAGTGAACAAACTTTCTTAGCAGATGAGCTAGGAATGGATTCAATATAGTCTTTCCACTTCGTGTCAGCCGAGAATATTAACCCAAGAAGGAGCAACGTGCGTAAAGTAAATGTTTCCTTGTTTTTCATCATTTGACTCTGGAATTAAGGATTCATGTGTGTCCGAGTGGTTGAAATTTTCACTTTCCGATCATGTGACCTGAGATCGAATCTTACCATAGTTGATTTGCGGCATCGTTTGAAAGTTCCGTAAAAAAACATACCACGGATTAACACACGCCTTCTAATTGAAATAACACAGAAGAAACTGTTCGGAAGCTGTCGATGGTTGTGACAGCACGAAGACATAAGCCATCGTGACAGAGGTTTTGAGCGTACTGGTCTTGTTCAACTACTGATCACACCAGATTGTGCACTCTCTCCTATAAACTATAACTAAGGTCCACTCAGTATAGCTGCGGTATTGACCACATGTTAGCTTTGTGGGTTTCAAATGTGACTGAAATACGCCTGCAACAGGAATTAGTTAACCATCCTAACAGAGGAGTGTACTTGGGAAAGAGCTGTCAGATATTAAATTACATGTATATATGTCGACTGCATAACCTACACGAATACTTTCGTGTATATGTAAGTATTTATATATTGTCATAGTACAATTTTTTTTACACGATTACTTTTAAAAATGTTATGGTCTTAATGATTCCACCGTTTTATTCCTATCTGTTGTAAGTTTTCCCAAAGTGGAATATTGGTTTTAATCAGTTTTCGGTTAGCATGGTTGAGTAATTGTAATGGTTTCTATACCTACATGCTATAATTTAGATAGATAGATAGATAGATAGATAGATAGATAGATAGATAGATAGTGTAGTGGACCGTGGCTGTAATGTTGTTGAGTAGACGTAGAAGAAACACATGTGGGTTCAAATTTTCCTGCTAGCCGGTCCAACTACATGAAAATGTTAGACATGAATTAATTAAGTCCAAAGAATGCAAAGAAAACAAACAAAACACAAGACTGATAATATATGTATACAAATATATATATTAATAACAGGTTACATAGAAACAGTTACAAAAGGACAAAGTGTGTGTGAATATTATATATGTGCGTTTGTGTGTGTGTATTGTGCTTAGCGTGTTCCCAGCAATTTGAGAAACGCTATCTCTGGTGAGCGTTCACATCTTCGAAGTGGTAAGGCTGAAAGCCTGAGGAAAAAGAGAGATTTACCTCCAGCTGTCGGCGCAAAGGCCTGAGGGAAAAAGAGAAAGCGGCGAAGGGTCAGCGGCTTTTTATAGCAGCGAAGAGAGACCCCTGGTGAAAGGGTTACGAACTGAAGGAGGAGTTAACTCCGACAATAGATAGATAGATTAAAACGTAGATAGATAGATTCAGGCTGTAATAGATAGATATGAACAAATTGATATAGGTCTGTATAGATAGGCTTATTGGTATGTGTGCTTGTGTGCATTTAATATATGTGAACATAAGTAAATGTCTTTTTCTTTTCTTTTTCAGTTTGAATGAAGACGAACTATGAAAGGTGAAAGTTGAGATAAAGAATTACTGGGAAAGAAACATTTTTCCTGGCACTGCCCCAAACATTAAATGGATATATTTTGTGGAATTTTGATCCACCCCAGTTTAAAAGGGAACTGGTATGATATGCAACATGATGACTGGTTTAAAAAGAAAAAAAGATGGAAGTGGGGTTTTGTACCTAGAAGATCCCACACTTACGTGCCTCGAGCTCTCAGAGGGTTCAGGTTAAATGCTCGGCTTTTTAAAAATTTTGTTTATTTTCTTTTTGTTTTACAAGGACAACCAGTAATGAAAGACTCGTAACTAAAAGTAGTTTCTCTAACAGAAACTGAATTTATACAACAGCAACAACAAACATTAATAGATTTTTATCAACATCCTCCCCTTATCATTTCTGCCTCCCTGTCAATCTTGGGTGCTGTCTGTCCACATCACAGTTTTCCGTCTTAGCCCAGGAAACGAGGACAAACAAACAAACGAACAAACAAAAAGAAAAAACAGAAAAAAAAGAAGGAAAGTTAGTCATTATTCTTATCACAGTTTCCTGTCGCTTATCTCAACTTTATACCTAGAAAATATTTTTAAAAAAATACACTTGACAGTCATACTTACAAAAAGAAAAAAAAAATGAGAAAAGAGGAAAAAATATTTTAAAAATACAATTTCAGAACAGCAAAAATATTTGAAACGTTATTAATCGATTATAAACACGACGTGTAGCGTACAATAAGCTTTTAAATGAAAATAAGAACTCTTCATTTATGGATCTGATACAACTTAAGGAAAACTAAACAACAATATATTTAAGAGATGTATAGAAAGGAAGTGACGTCATGGATACCCATCAGAGATGTTTCTTCTTCTCCTTAACATGGTCGTCGTCGTTGTTGTCATTGTTGTCTGCTCCCGGCAAGAATATGGAAACCATAAGATTATGCGGAGTGAAATATTTACTCACGATTTACCATTTGCATAAAAACATCAATCGAAATAAGAAAAAAATCTTTATTTTTTTGGTATATTTTTTTCCAACCCTAATGGCTACATATTGATATGTAAAGGTTTTTTTTCCTGATATTATAAAATACGTTTACTTTAGGAAAAAAAAGGGTTTCTGTTCCTTGCAAATGAAATCGATCCTTAAAGATCTTGAAGTTAATAGCAACAATGTGAGAGTATCAGTTAAAAGCAATGTGTATAGTAGGGTAGAAATAAACTAAAATCAGCCACTTATATATATATATATATATATATATATATATACAGGCACACGTGAGCGTAAACACATATATACACATTATACACCAGACATATGCACGATATATATATATGTGTGTGTGTTTATATATGTATATATATACATGTTTCTATATGTATATCTATATGTATATATAACTGTATATACGTATATATCAATATATATGTATATACATATATATGTATATACGTATATATATATATATATATATATATATATGTATGTATATATATATATATATATATATATATATATGTATATATATGCATATACATATATATACATGCATATACCTATATATGCATATACACACATATATATATATATGTATATATATATATATATAATTTAAGTCTTATGTATATAACTTATAAGGTTATATATAACTTTTGATGGAAACTCAGTTTTATTTCGTGACACTATGTGTGTGTATCTGTGCACGTGTATATATATGTGTGTGTGTGTGTGTGTGTGTGTGTGTGTGTGTGTGTGTGAATATCGCGTTTAAATCTCTTAAGCATTTTGTTTTGCAATCGAAAAATTCTCAATTCTTCTTTCTTAACACATTTATTTTCAAATTTTTTGCTTAAGTTCTTCAAACATACTACGGCTTGTAGAATTCCTAACAGATACCACATTTGAATACCATTGTCCAGTTTATTCTAGAAGTAAATTACGATTCAGATAGATCTAACGACTATATATGATGAAATCTATAACTGTTGCTATATTTACAAAAGAAAAAGAAAATGAATATTGCCACAACCTCCATAATAATCAACAATTACGTTTACAACAGTTGCCTTGCCTTTATCATTAATACGTATATCATTTCTGACCTTGCAATCATCCTTATTCTTGTGGCTGTTATTATAAATATTTTATACAACGGAAAATTTATCAACATATTCATTACGATTTCAATATGGCGACGTCTGCGGCTTACTCTTACAACTACTACTACTACTACTACTACCAATAAGAAGAAGAAAAAGAAAAGACAAAAAAATCAAGTGAATTTTTATTATGTCCTCAGCTTACAGATTCTATTACGAAAATTTACACTTAATAAACCTAAGGTTTTATTAATAGTACAAGGAAAACCAGAATTATAGTATTTAGTAGAAACGGATTATCTATTTCTGGCACATCTGATTAGTAGCTTATTCTTCCGCTATCTAGGTCGACATTCATTTGACCATTTCATCTTTCACATCCCATGCCCATAACGTTTACTCTATTTGTGCATGGTCATTTAAAACATGCTGTCCTTTTTTTTTTATTTAACCTCATCCTTTTCACGTTCTTAGCTATTACGAGCAAGATTTATAAGCCTAAGTATGGGAAGGATATTTACTGTAATAATAATAATAATAATAATAATAATAATAATAATAATAACGTTGCTATTGCTGTTCTTATAAAGGATACAGGATTACAGCGCAAGCGAACAGAAGTGAATCCCCATCATTTCCTGGCCTTTCGAAATTCGAAATCTGTCAACCCAGCCATCACCCCATTTCTCAAACCCACACTGTACTAGAAAAATTGTTTTGGCATAGAAAACCTATAAAGTTGAAAAATAAAATTGAAAAAAAAATCTGCTTTTAAGACTTTGTAAATGTACTTCCCTTACGTGCATGTCCAAAATTCTTTCAGCTAAAATCATAGTTCTTTACAAACCCACAAAAAAAAAAAACAAAAAAAAATATATATATTGCATCTGAAGTCTTTCCTTGTCATCAAATATTTAAAAAAATACAACCAAAAAAAGAAAAAAAACACGAAAATAAAACAAAAAAGAAGACTTTTGGGAGTGGTGACCGTGGTTAATCTGTTAAAGACACGGATTCCCAAACATGTATGCTCATGTTCAAGTCTGTAAGAATCTGACCTTAGGTAAGTCTTTCACACCCCATGCCGACCGAGGTCTTAAAATCCGCTATATTAAGGTGGTCTATATATTTGCAAACGGAAAATGTTGAAGTAATCCTTGAGTATTTTCTGTCCACATTGAGTAGTCCGTTTTACCATTAGTATGAAATGTTGTCCTTCCTTAACATCTATTCCTCAGTGCCCGCCCCCCTCTAACTAGTCCTTAACCTGACAATCCCCAAATATAAATGGCTTTCCTTTCTAGCCTTGTTCTAACTTGCGTTCCTACTTAACAACCAGTTCAAGTGCTGTCTCTTAATGGAATGCATATGTAGCCTGACAAAAGATGAAGCAACTGCCAGGAAGCTACCATCATTATAATTTAATATTATTTAAATTATAACGTAAAAAATAAAGCACAATGGCGACACAAAAAGAAGGATTTTCTCTACAAACAAAGCAGCTAGAAGACTGAGGTTAGAATTCCTCTGTTGTTTACTCATGAAGGAAGATAAATAAAAACTGTTCATTTTTGTTTTGTTTTTTAACAGACTGTACACTCATTTTTGTATGTGTGTGTTAACTTTCCAACGTATTGATTGGTGTGTTCTCTGCTCGCTAACAACTGAGAACAGATGAGCGAACTGGGAAAATTTGTCAATTCAACCCGTGGATTCATCCTTTGAGCTAGAAAAAAAATATCTTTCAATGTTTTTGAGTGACGTATTTTTTTTTTTATCATTTTCTGATCTAAATATAACAATCAAAACATGGATGTTTGTTCATTTGAACTGCATACTCATCTTTCTATGTTTCAAGTTGCAGAAGTTTCGACCGTTGAATTTTGTTGGATCGTGTGTAGATGAGATTTCATTAATGAAAAATATGGTGTTTACATACGAAAGATGAGTTTGGTATTTCGAAGTCAAACCTTTAAAAAACAGTGATATAACTTTTTTTTTTCCATTTAAAAAACAATGACTGCAGAATTTCAAACAGTATATATTCTGTCAACTAATCTCATTCTTCACTTATCTTCCTTAATTTCTTGCTGCCTCTGTTCCCTTCTGTCATAATATCGGTCGTTCTTTGGGCTACAATATGACTTCTTTTTGTTTCAGGGGTTAAATCCTGCATATTTCAGCATTTTTCTTTTCTTTTTCTTTTTCTTTCATCTTATTTAGTTCTTCTTTTATTTTTATTTT